TTTTTTTATAATATGCTATTATAATTAGGAAGCAATGTAACTACAAAATTTACTCAGCGATATGTACGAAAGACAAAATAATTTTAAATTATATTCTATATATTATTATTATAAAACGCTTTAATTGTATTAACTGGTTGTAGACAATAAAATAAGTATAAATAAGAACTATAATAAGTTAAAAGGTATTTTTATTAATTTTTTTTTTCATAATAATCTTTATTGTTTTATGCCTGGACCAGTGACCACTCCTTCTGGCTTCTCAACATTAGGTCCACCACGGACCTCACGCCGAACGCGGACACCGAGCGGTACTCCAACTCTTCTCGCTTACTGGTCTACGACTCGCACCGGAAGAGCGTATGCTATGCATTGTTTCCAACACGTCCGCGTCCAGCTGACCCGAAGCCAGTGGACCACGGTGCTTCTGCATGACGACCCGTTAGAGTTTCCCCTACGGGTCGTTGTCCACCGATTTCACAAGTTCAGCCCAGCACTTCGCTTTGGCCCACCTGATGGTGAGCTTCAGCTCTTTGCGGGCTGACCTCAGCGCCTCCCTTGGGTCCGGGGATTCTGGGTCCCTCGACCAGGGGGTGGACGTCCCGCTCATGGATTCCATGACGTATCTGGGCCTGGTCTTCGACAGACGTCTGATGTTCGGGCCGCACATCACCCGTGCGGCCCAACAGGCCCAGAAAGTCATGGACAGCCTGGCGGGGCTCATGCCCAATCTGGGAGGACCGAGGGAGATGCGGCGCAGACTCCTCGTCAGCGTCGTTCACTCGGTCCTCCTGTACGGGTCCCCGGTCTGGGCGGATACCCTCGAGTATTCGCCCAGGAACCGCGAAGCCCTGCTCCGGGTGCAGTGGCGGGCGGTGATCCGGACCGTGTCGGCTTACCGAACAGTCTCCGGAGTGGCGGCGGGAATACTGTCGTCACTGCCGCCCGCCGACCTGCTCGCCGAGGAACGCGCCGCCGGGCATGAGCTCCGCCGAGAGCGAAACCGGTCCCTCGAACCCGAGGACCGGCTAGCGCTCAGGCGGATTTTTTTTTTTTCTTTCAACCGACTTCATGCAGACCGCCCCGGGACTGCCGTTAAGCATTGCTTCGAGGCGGCCTACGTCGCTTTCTAACACTTCTGCCACCGCGCTGTGCTTCGGCCCGAACTTAATCCGGGGCCGGATCACAGCGCGGTGCTGCCTACCCCGTTAGCCGGACCCCACTGGTGGGTCCGTTGCCCGGGCTGCACCACGCGGAGGTGGGGACAGGACTTCGCGATGGGTTGGGTCCATCCTTGATGGGCACTCTTTAGCGATATGCCCACCTTTTCTGCACCTGTGACAGTTCCCTGACCTGTCCGGGCCCTTACAGCTGTGGGCAATGTGCCCATACTCCAGATACCTGTAGCACTGAGGACCTTTGTCAATGATCCTCAGTCAGTTTGTCCAGCCGACTTTTATTCGGCTCACTGTGGTAAGCCGAATGGCAACCTTGACGGGCACGTCACATCTCGCGTAACGCCCCTTGCCTCCAATGTTAGGCCGTATGATAACGGGCCCAACACTTGGACATTCCAGAGCGTCGCTTAGGGCCCGACGCACCTCGTCCTCTTCGTGCCAGTCCTCCACATCCCTGATTAAGACAGTGCGGGTCATCGAAGGGTGATGCACCCGCACGTCCTTCTCTTTGAGCGCCTCCTCCAACTTGGCGGCTAGTAAATCCGCTTTCTCGGCGGTTCCTCGAACCTCCAGCAGAACGGCCCCCGTCTGAGTCCTCCGGGTCCCAGACACCTGGATACCCAAGGCCAGAAGGTCCACAGAGGCCGTCGCCGTCTTCATCACTTCGGCATACTTCAAGTCCCCCTTCAAAGGGCCGATAATCACAGCCTCCGTACGAGGGACCCTCGCCCGCAACTTTTTTGCGGCCGGACCTCATGTAGGCGGTGGAGGTCTAGGCCTAGTTGCCGTTTCCTCGGTCTTCCCCAGTCCACCCTTGCGACGAACCACCTCCGTCTAAGTGGGCCTCTCCGTCTCCGCTCCTGTGTCCACACTCGCCGGAGCGGACTTTGCGGCACCAGTCCACCGATCCGAATGCTTCTCGGGAAGCGTAACGGTCGGCGAGGAGGCCATACCCTCGACAGTGTTCAGTCTCTTCTCCTTCTTCTTCTTTCGCTTCTTCCCAGGCTTCGTCAACGGATCTGACCTTGGATTTGGGAGCTCCTCCGTTGTTTGTGTGGCCACATTCCTCCTCAACGCCATATCAGACGTCCCCGGCCTGTTTGTTTGCGGTCCAACCGCCGTTTGCGTTCCCGCGTCCGTTGTCGGCTTCCGTTTCGCGAAAACCGGAGCTAACGTACCAGAACCCCTTTCCGGCGAGGCTACAATGGTCCCCGA